GGGAGAAGTTAGTCTTCTACACCAGAGGATCTCAAGGGGAGCAACGTGGAAAGAAGGGAATGTTCTGCAAATACTGCAAGAAGCCCGGCCACTCCATCGATCAATGCTACAAACGAATGGCCGCTGACGAGAGGCGCAACTCCTCCGGTCAGCAACCTTCGGCACAATCGACGCCTCCTACCGGGACCTCGACCATATCACCTCCCTCCGTCCCCAGCACGTCTCAGACCCCTGCTCATATCACAATGAAAGACAAAGGCAAGGGGACAATCATGAGTTGCATGGCGCTTCGCAAAGGTGGTCGATACTACGACAACGTCACATACCCGCCTATCGCGCCGATCAACCCTATTACGCCCAGCCCAGACAACGATCCAACCATCTTCAACTGGATCGATCGTCCATCAAACATCCCACCTGATTTCGAGTTGCCTCCTCCAACACCGGAATCTCCTCCAGCATCTCCGCAAATAGATACCTCGCTCTCTCACCGTACACCGGCGACTTTGACCACATTGTCACGCCAAGAATCGCCAACATCGCGCGCCAGAGCCATGAGAGCATCAACACCTGGTACCTTGACAGCTGCTGCGGACAACACATGGTGGGATCCCCGGCGTTTATCACCAACTCACGGCGCATGCGACGACCCTGCGAAATCATTGTCGCCAACAACGGCAAAATGAAGGCATACAACATTGGTGAAATTTACCTTGAAGCCGATGACACGAAATTCACCATTCACATCGGAGACGTGCTCGTCGCTCCAGACCTGCAGTACAACCTGCTCTCCTCGGCACAACTCATGCGGTGCGGAGTTGACATTCGCAGCAACCACAGGGACAACACCTTCGAGCTTTTCTACAACAACACTTACATCGGCAAGGCAATAGACGATGACGGAGTCTTCGTGCTGCAGTTCTCAGCCCAAGGTACGACTGACGATTCTGGCCGCACGCTACTGTTGAAGACAACTCCCATGGAACCGCCGGCGTGGTCCCACCCTACCGAAATGGACCTTGAACGACCTGCCTCCGACGGTCTCCTGTGCCTACGCACCGTTCCAACCGCTTCAACCTCCAATCCTGCGAAAACTGGACCTGCCACAATGGAAGAAGACAGCGGCACGTCAGCACCTGCAGCACCAACCACCGGAGAAAGTAAGGCAACTGGAACGGGTTCGGGCACTCCCGAGCCTGCGCTTGGCCCTTGGGGAGAGATTTTAACTCAAGAAGAAGCAGCCACAAGTGGATGGGGCGCCAACATAGCTCCACAAGGAGGGGAAGCCGCTGGCGGCGGCTGGGGAACCTCAGCCGGAGAAAGATGGGGCCCGCGAAACTACGATGAAGCCACGGGACTTCCTCCCGCGGAAGTAGCGGCGGTCGACCCATACTGGGCAACTCGTGGTACCAGCTGGGGAGGTCCTCCTCTTCCCGATCAATACGCTCCTAACAAACCAGAGCCAACAGCGGAGAAGTCAGACGAAGAAGTAACTTACGAATTTTTGGGAGAAGCAGCGGAGTTACCGGAACCTACGGAGGAACCGCCATCGCCAGAGCAAGGGCCACAAGAAATTGAAGTCATCGGTGCTGAGTACATTTACTTTCGGATTCCAATGACGGGACTCCCCGCCCACGATTGGCCAAAATCAAAGCCGCCACCGTCAACAAATCTGCTTGTCACGGGGAAGCCGGTCGATACCGCAGACACTGATGACATCATCGGAGTTCCGCGCTTCCTCATGGAGCAAAACTCTGTAAAAGCCTTCGCAACTGACGCCGATGCCGCCACTGACACGGGCCTTGGAAAAGAGCAGGACAATGCATCAGCACAGCACAAATATTATCGAAAGACTGTCGGCTATCATGCGGACCCTGAAACCTGGCACCAACGACTTGGACACCCCTCACACGCTACACTCAAAAACTCACTTAAGGCCGATGTCTTCGATGACGGCGCACTCCTCCTGCCTCAAGATGGCTTCCTCACCGCGGACTCAGCTGACCCACCGTGCACCATCTGCCCAACAGCGTCGCTCGCCCACAAGCCGTTTCCCGACTTACCCCCGGGATACGAGCGATACAAGCCACTGGACAAGGTCTACAGCGACTTCATGATGCTCAGCGACGAAGGGCTCGACGGTGAACAATATACGCTTACTTTCATCGACGCATGCACGCGCTACGTCTGTGCCATTAACACCGACTGTCGCTCCCTTACCTTCGAGTGCTTCGTGGCGTGGATGAAGCGGGCTGAGCGTCAATCCGGGCTGAAGCTGAAGAGCTACCAAACAGACGAGGGTCTGGAGTTTTTCTCAACGGAGTTCAAGGAACTCTTCAAGCAGAAGGGAATTGAGCACTTGGTGTCCCTGCCCTACGCTCACAAGCAACAAGGAGTAGCAGAACGGACAAACAGGAGCCTCGCTACACCGATGAGGGCCCTGATGAAGCAGTCGGCCATCCCAACCAAATATTGGCCGTTTGCGATGAATCACGCTGTTCGGTTGCAAAACTTGCTGTCCTCCCGAAGCCTCGAGAACAACAGCTCCCCTTACAGGGCATGGACGGGCAGAAAAGCGGACACGCGTCTGCTCTGGGTGTTCGGCTGCATGGTACAGTACAGACCCCACACTGCAAGGATCGGAAAGTTTTCTGATCGGGCACGATGGGGAATCCACCTCGGAATCGAAAAAGAACACAAGGCATGGATCGTGCTGGACTACGCGACACACGAAGTGACGAAATCACGTGACTGCATCTTCTACGAGAAGCTGACCTTACCACTGTTCAAGGAGCACCTGGAAGCTGACAAGGCGCCAGAGAGGGTCTTCGAGGGACACCGCAGCTTCGCCACGTCACACGACGAAGCTGACCTGGCGGAAGATGCAGACGCAACCGATGTCACCCCGATGGATACAGCACCCAGCATCCCCCTTACAAGCCCACTCCAAACTCCAACCTTCATCCCTGTACACCAATTCGATCCGGATGATACAACTCGCGAAGCTCACAACTATACCAGTGAGGCGCGGCGATCCCCGGATGCAAAGTTACCACAGCCCAACACCTCGCAAGACACCCTCCGCCTCGGCAACGAAAGTGACGATGACGTCGTCGAAGTTACCAGCCTCCACGACCACGACCGCCTCCACTACGAAAAGACCAACGAAACCGGCCTCCGCGTTCTCGGTCTCGCTGTCGCTGTTCGCCACCACTCTCCAAAGGAACCAACAATTGTTCGCCAAGCTCTGTCTGGCCTCGACAGCGAGAAGTGGAGAGCAGCCATGGCCGCAGAAGTCGCGTCGCTGAAGAAGCGTGACACCTAGAAGCTGGTCCCCCGGTCATCAGTAAAGGGGAGAAAAATTCTCAGCGGCAAATGGGTTTTCCGCATCAAGACCCTGGATGACAGCTCCATTGATAAATACAAGGCGCGGTGGGTGGTGCGCGGCTTCGAGCAAACGCACCTAGTGGACTTCACCCTCACCTACGCACCTGTCGGATGTCACACCTCGGTACGCATACTCATCTGCCTCGCAGCCGTCAAACAACAGCCACTCCGCCAAATCGACGTCGGCAGCGCTTTCCTTTACGCCCCTGTTGACGCCATCATCTTCGTCGAACAGCCACATGCCTTCAAAGAGAACGATGGCGCCGTGTGTCTCCTTCAGAAATCCCTTTACGGGATTGAGCAGGCACCTCGCCTGTGGCAGCAGTATCTCCACTCCGTTCTTCTTGACCTCGGTTTCACTCAGCTACCACATGACCTCGGAATGTACCGCCGGAAATCGCGCGGCAACTTCATTCTCCTCGTCGCCTACGTGGACGATCTCCCCTACACTGGCAACGACACGGAGCTGCTCGACCAGTTCGAAGCTGATATCATGGAGAAGCTCGAAGTGACGATCAACCACAACGTCACACAATTCCTGGGCCTTATCACTCAGTCCGCCTCTTCCATTCACCTTTCCGCCGCTAAGTACGCCGAAACACTCGCGAAGCGATTCGCCATCGCACCAACCAACCTCACTACCCCCTACCGCACTCCTCCTCCTAATCATGAGCCGGACGCCACACCCCTCTCCATCGACGATCATCAGCTCTACCAACAGCAGCTGGGATGTCTCCTGTTTGCCGTCGTCACGTGCCGGCCCGATCTCTTCTACGTCGCAAGCCAGCTCGCACAGTACCTGAAGCGACCTGAAGGGGAGAATATACAGGATCTACGCCCACCCTCTCAACCACAATGAATAGCTTGATTAAACGCTCGCAGATTTGGATGCATTAGTATAGAGTAGTTCAATAGCTGGCTAGCTTCTCACCTTTAAAATAATTAAGTTCAGGTAGATTATTGCTCAGATTATTGCTCTAACTCAAGTCTACCTGGGTTGGGCTTTCAGTTTTAGCGAGACACCCAATAGCCCAGTTAACTTTAACTCGTCCAGGAGGGTTGTCATGTCAGGTACGACGTTTCGCCAACTCTTGTATCAGTTCGCACATGCGAAATGGTTTTGCACAAAATCACGATTTTCAAACCATACCTCTTCCTCCTTCGACGCGCTTCGGTGATATCCCATCTGGCACACGAACATTGCCCCACCGAAGTACAGGCAGACACAATTCTCTGGTTCCACGCCATTCAAGTCTGGTTCGTGTCGCACGAACATCCGAATTGCGCACCACTAGCACGATACCACACTGCCCGCACCCCCACCTGCGCCCCCCATCCGCCAACCCCACGCTGCTATACCCCAATTTCTCTGTGTATCCACTCCACCATTGGCAGCATCGCTGCTTTGGCGTGCTCTACAAGCTGCTCACCTTGAGCACTCGCTTCGTGGCGCGAGCACGCCTCGGCGTGCATCATACGATAAAAGCTCTTTTTTTTTTTTTTTCCGAGGATCGATATCTCCTTTACCATCGTTCCTTCGCCATCCGAGTCTTCCCAGCACAACGACACCAAGCAAATCATACCCGTTGCATTTTTTGAATAGTCCCGACCTCATGGCTCCTTCAATCTCTGCAAAAGGTGCGTTGATCGCTCAATCCTTTCTCTATCGATCTTTCGACTCGTCTCAATAGTCCTCTCATACCCAACGTCAGTCTTTCGTTCGTGCATCCCAATCTCGTCATTCTTTGCTGTCGTCAACAAAGCTATCGCTCGAAATTATCTGAATCCTCCGTCCATCGCGCTGCCATCAGAAATGCCCTCGCTCCGTCGCCAGCCCTTCTGAATCTCGTTCCATTACTCGACATGGACTTCTCGCGCTCCTCGCTCCCTGGGGGTCGCGTTACGGCCGTCACCGCCCGTACTCATCGTTGTGTGCTTTCCGTGCTCCTATCCCCCTCCAGGCACGCTCGTCCTCGGGCTGCTCTTCGCGTCCGCGCTTCTCACTCTCGCCGCCCGACCGAAATGTGAGTGCGCCGCCCAACCATCTCGGCCTTCCTCCCACCGTTCTTGCTCTCTTCCCGCCCGCGTCGCTCTCTCTTCTCGCTTTCAGTCACAGCGTGCTCTCTTCCGCTCGCAGCCCATCATACTGACTGACTCGTTTTTTCCTGGTTTGTCATGCGTTGTCGCACATTATCGCAGGCGTGCTGTACTCGAATTGGGACGTGACGGACAGCCAGCAGACGCAGGCAAAGACGAAGGGCAAGTCCACCAAGTCCCTGCCCAGTGGCAAACTTACCATCAAGGAATACAAGTACGCCATTTCTCCACGCTTCTTCGCTGTGTCATTTGGCTGCGCCATTCCGGTTGCACCGTTCCGCTGCGCGCCATACTGCCACGCCCTTCTGCCATCACTCCCCCTCCCTCATTCCCCGCTCGGTTCTCCCCCTCGAACCGTTTCCCTTCCACTAACTTTCTCGCTCCTGTCCCGCGCGTTGCTCGATCGCAGAGGCAGCTCAGATGAGTCGTTCGACCTGCAGGTGTCTGCGGAGGTGACGGAGCTCCCCGAGCCGCCCGTGGGAATCGTTATCGGCAAGGGCAAATTCGGCAGCAACACGGGCGTCTCGTGGTACATCAACCAGCCGTGGAGCGGCGGCGGCGGCTCGTACAAGCTCGACTTTAAGCTGACGGGAATTGAGAAGATCGCGCCACGTGGAGGCAGCGGCACGATTCTGGAGGTGCTGCAGGCTGTGGATAAGGGCGTTGTGTCATCATACTACACGTCTGTCCTCACAAAGTCGACCAGGAAATCTGGTGGCCTCGTTGGTGGGGGATTCGTCAAGGGATTCCCCAATATTTTGCCCATGTTCAGCTGCTAAATCGAGCGGTTGGGCCTGCCGTTGCTGTGGGGCAATACAGCCTTGCAGCCCCTAGACCGGCTAATAAAAGATGTCTGAAAGCGGGCTCCTATGGAGACCCCCATCTCATAATTGGCTTCGCAGCTGCTTGTTGGCGTTAGACTTGTTTTGTACTTGTGGAAGCTATTTGTACGAGATGTCAGTTGTTTGTACGATTTAATAACGCTAACGCACTACGGTGCACGGTGTAAGACCAACCCTCACTTGTATTTCCCAGCCAGCACAACCACCGACATTGTCTGCTGTTGCGAATCGATCATCTGACGTCTGGCCGTCAACGTCTGTTTTCCCGCGCTCACACCTCACATCATCGCCCATCACTTGTCCCTTCCGCAAACCTACCTGTTCCCATCTTCCCCGCGCGAACGAACTGCCCCTGCGCAGAGAAACCAGCACGCGGCTGTAGGGCCCGTGGATCCAACACATCCACCAACCCGAGAGGCAAGCAGAGCAGGCTCGAAAACAATTCTTCGGTTTTCGCACCATTTGCCACGGTGCAGTTCGGTTCGCTGTTCCCCCTATGCCACTTGTGCTTTCAAGGCCCAGTTCGGCAGCCACGGAAGAAGGACGGAAGAAAAAATTTCCCGTCTTCATGGAAGCTTCGAATCGCATTATCGAGGGCAAAACAGTGCGGGCTGCAGGGTAAAACTTTTGGAAATCGAAGCGCAGGTGTTTAGCAGCAGCGACGCGAACACCACCTAAAATTGATTCCGTTCCGTCTTCTGTCCTTATTCCCCCCCCGTGGCGGGAAGCTTCCGCCCTAGTGAGACGGAAGAAAAGAATGATTCTTCCAAAACACAAGAATCAACATTTTGATTCCAGAAGAATCACTGTTCACGGGACAACATTGCACAAAAAAAGGGAAAGGGTTCATGCACACAAAAACTTTACTCCAATAGCGAGGGGCTGTCACTCCTTTTTTCGTTTTGGGGCGAGCCCGCTACAGTGACCAGGTACATTCGAATGTCCAGGCAAATGTGCCTGGAAATGCGGTCGTGTTCCCAATCTTCCCCCTCCAACCTGCGCCTGCTCCCCCACGGCGCAGGTTCTCCGCGGAGCAGTCAATCCGGGGTCAAAATTCGTTTACCCTGGGTTGACGCCCGCCTTACCTTCGCCTCATCTTCCTCACATTTTGCTTCCGCGTGGCTGCCGAACTGGGCCCAAATAAACTTTACAACACACATCCATCAAAAAGTGCCCACCAAATCTTATCGCTTTCCCTAGCTCTCTCGCGGACTTTTTTCTAAGCTTAGCTAGTAGTTGTCGAGTCTAGCGTTCCTTGCGGGCTAGTCGACAGAGTGGGAGCGGCGTGGCGAGCGGGTCCTCGCGCGAAGCTATGGCGAGCGTCAATCCCATACGGTAATCATCGCAGGACCCTCGCCGCAGGCAGGGCCTATTTTTGGTTTTGGGGCACTCTTGGAAATAAAGGTGTGTTGATGACGTTGCCCTGCCTGTCAGGGTATCTTTTCTTCCACCCTGTCAAAATCAAGGTAGACTTTTGAGTACCCTGATTTGTAACGAAAATGGGGAAATTGGGGCTAAAAGTGGAGAGGGAATTGTGGGGAGGGGCTGGGAGATGCGAGGGAAACATGGGGAGTTGAGCAGGGAGTGGCGAGGGCTGTGGGATAAATGGGGCTCGGCGGTTGGGAGAAGTGCGGGAAATGGGGAGAATCGTGATCAAGGTGCTAGGAAATTGGATAGACTGGGGCTGGGAGAGGCTAAGACACTCTGACACGTAAGGGTACCAATCAGCGCACACTGATTTTGTCAGGGTAGAAAAAACTCTACAATTTTGGAAAAAGGATACAGAATCGCTTACCCTTTCAAAATCAGGGTACGGTAATCATAAAAAGATGGATCTTAGAAAGGGCAATCAAGGTATTTTACCCTTAAAAAAAGCCCCTGGCCGCAGGACGTTCAACGGACCAAGGAGCTAGAGAAGGTGATGCGCCAAACGCGCGAGACAAGATCGCAAGATGCACGAGACGGGCGGGACGAGATAGCGAGATGCACGAGACGGGCAGGACGAGATAGCGAGATGCACGAGACGGCGGGACGAAATAGCGAGATGCACGAGACGGGCGGGACGAGATAGCGAGATGCACTAGAAGCGCGAGATAAGATTCATCGGATGAGCGAGATGCGTCAGACGCGCTAGACCCGCGAGATGCGCGAATCCCCGCTGCTAGCTTGTAGCATATCTGCTCCCTTGCCGGCCGTATTGATATTCTCTTCAGGCTTCTTCTGTTGACGAGGCACTGACGCGTTGGTTCCGTGCTGCTGGGCTTTAACTCGTTCATGGCGGCCTTCACCGCCCCGCCCTTGCAGCTCGCCAACGCCTCTTTCACCGTCATCGTTGCGATGTCCCAGCGGTCGGTGCTCTGGGTTGGCGTGCACGTCGGGGTCGAGCTCCGGCACGTCGATGTCAACGTCCGCGTCGTCGAGTAGCATAGTGAATGCAGCTGGTGGCAGACAAGCATGGTAGCTCAGCCACTCTGGTGGCCTCCGAGTTCGACCAGAGCATCGCAGCTCAGGCTGCTCGATCGGCACTTAGACCACATCGCTGTCGGTGGACTCCTCCCCCGCCAACAGCTCCTCGTCGTCGTCGACCACCTCGTTGTCGATGAGCTGCTCCGCCAGCGTTTGCTCCTTGGCCGACTCCTCTTTCGGCGACAGCTCCCCTGTCGATTGCCTTGTCTGCTGCTCCCTTGTCGGCGGCACTTCTTCTGCTACCTCTTTCTCGACTAGTTCTCCTGTCTGTTGCTCTCATGTCGTCAACGACTTCACATTCTCGTCGACGAGCTTAGTGTCTCGTCGACCGCCGGCGATGCCACTGGCCGGCGCCATAGGTGACGCCTCACTGCTCCCCTTGTTGCCGGAGGCCGACGACCTAGTCGATACAGGGGCGTCCGGGAGGAGGGGTGGGGTAACAGGAACAGGAGGAGGAGGAGAAGGGGGTGGGACATCCTCGACGTCCTCTTTGGCAGGCTCGCCGACCTCGGCGAGCAGCGGGACCGTCGCCGTCGGTGTGTCCGGTGGCGGGTGGACCTGCGACACCTCCAGCGACAACGTCTCATAGAAAATCCCCTCGACCGACGTGACCACCTTGTTGTCGGTCAAGTCCCAAGAAGACACCTAATTTAAGGTAAGCATTTTCGCTTTTCAGTGAATACATGGGCATCCCTATTGTCTCCCCAGCGAGACTTTTAGCGTACGAACCATGGTGCTCATACATGTATTAGCGATCTGTAATTTTGTGACATACTGAGTGGCCTTAGGGTTTCAGCACCATGCTAAGACGAACTGCTTGCCCTCGATGCATTGCTAGCCTGGACCCTTCTGCGTGTTGCCGTTTTTCTCATTGGCTCATTCACTATTATGTCACATACCCAGGCTCTCAGCAATCTAGGGTTTGCCTGTCCAAGCCTGCGACTGTCTTAAACTGCGACTGCCCTAGCATGTGACTGAAGTAGCTGTGAGGAGCTATAATGAAAAAAAATAATATTTGAGTAAAGCATGAGTTTTTTTTTACAGATGCTGCACGTGCACTGGTTTCCGACCAGCCCTGTTGTCTCAAATCAAACCAGCCAGCAGCAAGATCTCTCCAGTCGAGATGTCTTTCAAACAACACCACGTTGTGAGCGGACTTCAGGTATCGAAGCTAATGGCCATCCATTACTTGGTCATTCACTATAATCTCCGCTCTCCATTTCGCCTAGACATTCAAAGTCTTCCAGCGTGTGCTCGCTCCAGCTTCCTTCACATGCCTGACTGTTGTAAGGTGCGGCGCTTGCATGGCTGCGTTGAAGATCTGCCCTTCGCCTCGTTGTCATTACACCGTCCTATATTTTTGCAACCTTTGCCTACTTCCGTTGATGTCAAGGTGCGTGCGAACACATGTTTGTTCTAGAAAACACTTAGAAGTAGATAGAAACTTTTGTCTTTACGATCGTTGTAGTCGTATGAATTCCTTGCTGCTCTGCTCATTCAGCTCACTATATGTGTCTAGCGCGCTGCGAACCAACCACCTCTGGTTGGTCAACCTGGTCATCGTCTCCCTTGTCCGTTTCTCTAGTTCGTCTCGTCGTTTCGTTTCTTGTTGCGCTTCTTTTCCACTCTTTCAGCAGATTTGCACGTCTCCGCTTTTCCTCTCCCGCTCTGCTTGGCCTTCATGTCTACGCAGTCCATGCGACTTGTCGCCTACCCTGTGCATTTGTTTCCTACTTTTTGAAACTATTTGCAATAGACATGGTCACAAGTTGAGTCGAGTCGGTTCAAGTCGATTCGGGATCGAGTCGGACCTTTCGTGAGTCAAATCGACCTCAAGCTGAGTCGAACTGATTAAATGGTCGACGATGACTCGAGACTTGATATTAGGTTTCGAGTCAGTGTGGTGGCTCGAGTCGAGTCTTGTGATTCGCAACTCACTACTGACTCGATCCCCTCTGGTATTATTGGGGGACTGGGCGGGGCTAACATATGCGCACAATCTTCATAGGTGTCCGTCTACCTAGATAATTTCTTTCTCAAAGTTAAAAGTATTTGTCAGACATTATATTTGTTGTATTTGTGTAGGCTGTAGTGGGTTAGCCTATAGGGGGGTCACAACATTAGGGTTTCATATTTGTACTCACAATCCTTGCTAGTTCATCATTCCAGTCTGTTATTACTGACATGGTTTCAGAGCAGGTCCTTCGCTAGGACCGTTCTTAGGGCCCACCGTTACCTACATACCTACCTACCTACCGTGCGCCTCGTGCGCCTCCTACCTACTGCGCGCGCGGAGCCCGCTAGCCGCCCGCGCGCGACTCGACTTTTTTTTTTCGCGCGCGGTCGATTTCGCTGCGCGCGCCCCGCTAGCCGCACGCGCGCGGCTGTTTTCTTTACGCGCGGCCCCGCACGCTGCCCGCGCGCTGCCTGTGCGCCTCGCTGACGCGCCCGCTGCTGCAGCCGCCCGTCGC